TCGAGAAGATCAAGCAAACGGATCGCTTCTGGTATGAGAATGAGATTCCACCTTCATCCTTTACCCTCGAGCAACTGAAGAGCATTCGTCAGACATCGCTGTCGGGTCTGCTGTGTGGCTCACATCAAGTGAGCACAGCCCAGTCCAAGGCGTTCATTCTAGAGGATAACTATCTGTGAGTACACATCTGGGGGTACACTTGAATTGTCTCTTTAGAACTCTTTTTATCTCTCCCTCAGCAACTCTGTCTTGGACTGCGAACAGCTGCCCAAATTTGATCTGAAACCCTGGCAATCGAATGCCGAGGATGAGGTGCACGTGGAGCATGTGGAAGTGGAGCCCGAGACCAAGGAAGCCTTTGCCGAACTCAGTCCCGAGCTCATTGAAGCTGCCGTGGAGCGTGCCAAACTGGAGTTGGAGGAGCGCAGACGTTTCGAATACGAAGTGTGGCGTACAAGTGGGTTTCAGCTTAGTCTCTAACTAATTAGTCAAACTAATTTGTGTCTCTCTTTTACTCCCACAGAGGGTGGCATTAGCGCACGTTCGCCCGACGGCACAGCCGCTTCCTTCAGCAAGGCCAATCTGGCCGCCTTAAATATGGCCAACTCCTCGCTGATCTTCGAGCTGGCCTCCAATGAGATTGTCAAGACGCTGAATCACATAACCCGACGCAAGCGACAGATATTCAATCCCAATCAGAATGCCTTCAACCGGAATGAGCTGACGGACACGCTGCAAACGGTGGACATCAGCGGATTGATTGGTGGCGCCCAGAAGCACGTAGAGGACTGCCCAGAGCCCGCACAGCAGTGCGATGCCAACTCCCCCTTCCGCACGTTGTCTGGCAGATGCAACAATCTGCGCAATCCCAACTGGGGCAAGTCCTTGACTACCTTCTCCCGCCTGCTGCCTGCGCAGTATGAGGATGGCATTTCGGCGCCACGCGTGACGGGTGTCACGGGCACACAGCTGCCCAATCCGCGTACCATTTCCACGACGATTCATCCGGATATCTCGAACCTGCACACACGCTACTCCCTGATGGTGATGCAGTTTGCGCAGTTTGTCGATCACGATTTGACGCTGACGCCGATACACAAGGGTTTCCATGAGTCCATCCCCAGCTGCAGGTCCTGCAACTCCCGCCAGACGGTGCATCCCGAGTGTAATCCCTTCCCCGTGCCCGCTGGGGATTTCTACTATCCCGAGGTGAATGTGACGAGCGGCGAGCGCTTCTGCTTCCCCTCCATGAGATCGCTGCCCGGACAGCAGTCGCTTGGACCCCGTGATCAGATCAACCAGAACACCCACTTCCTGGACGCCTCGATGGTGTATGGTGAGTCCACTTGTGTGTCCAACAAGCTGCGTGGCTTCTCTGGTCGCATGAACAGCACCGTGCATCCGATACGCGGCAAGGAGCTGCTGCCACAGTCAAACTCCCATCCCGAGTGCAAGTCCCGCAGCGGCCTCTGCTTCATTGGCGGCGATGATCGTGCCTCCGAGCAGCCAGGACTCACGGCCGTGCACACCGCCTTCCTGCGCGAGCACAACCGCATTGTGGAGGGTCTTCGTGGTGTGAATCCCCACTGGAATGGCGAACAGTTGTACCACCACACGCGTCGCATTGTCAGTGCCCAAGTGCAGCATATCGTGTTCAATGAGTTCCTGCCTCGCATTCTCAGCTGGAATGCCGTCAATCTTTATGGCTTGAAGCTGCTGCCCCAAGGCTACTACAAGGACTACAATCCCTCGTGCAGTCCTATTGTTTTTAATGAATTTGCCGCTGCTGCCTTCCGCATTGGTCACTCGCTGCTGCGTCCCCACATTCCCCGTTTGAGTGTGCAACATCAGCCCGTGGATCCTCCCCTACTCCTGCGTGATGGCTTCTTCCGCATGGATGCGCTGCTCCAGCCAGGACTCATCGATGAGATTCTACGTGGACTGGTGGCCACACCCATGGAAACCTTGGATCAGTTCATCACCGGCGAGGTGACCAATCATCTGTTTGAGGATCGCAAGATTCCATTCTCTGGCATTGATTTGGTTGCTCTCAACATTCAGCGAGGTAAGTGGAGAGACAGGACTTCCATTTGTGACTCCCAACTGATCATCTGATCCCATCCTTCAGCTCGCGACCATGGCATTCCGTCGTACAACAATTATCGCGCTTTGTGCAACCTGAAACGTGCCACCAACTGGAACGATCTGAGCCGCGAAATACCCACCGAAGTGATCAGTCGCTTCCAGAAGGTCTATGCCAGCGTGGATGACATTGATCTATTCCCCGGCGCCATGACAGAGCGTCCGCTGCAGGGCGGCCTCGTCGGCCCCACTCTGGCCTGCATCATTGGCATTCAGTTCCGACAGCTGCGCAAATGCGATCGCTTCTGGTATGAGAATCAAGCGTCCGAGGTGAAGTTTACGGAAGCTCAGCTGGCTGAGATCCGCAAAGTGACGCTGGCCAAGATTGTGTGCGAGAATCTGGAGATTACCGGCGACATGCAGCGTGCAGCCTTCGATTTGCCCAGCAATTTCTTGTAAGTTTTGCAACAGATTTGAGACTTTTATTGGATGTGCAACTGATTTTTGTTTTCCTTACAGAAATCCACGTGTGCCCTGCGCTTCAATGCCACAAATTGACTTGAATGCCTGGCGGGAGAATGTCCAAGGCTGTCAGATTGGCAGCCGCAATGTGCGTGTGGGCGAATCAGCCTTTCCATCGCCCTGCACCAGCTGCGTGTGCTCTTCAGAGGGGGTAAATATCTATAATAAATTTCTATAAAGATTACCTTTTACTTATCATTCATTTCTGCAGGCTCAATGTGCCTCGCTGCGCATCACGGACTGCGGCCAATTGATACGTCAGTGGCCCAAGGAGGCTATTCTACGCGATGAGGTGTGCAACTCGCAGTGCGGCATTTACTTGACCGGACAGCAGGCCAGCGGCTTTAATCCCCAGCAGCGCCAGGGACAGGCACAGCCGCGTGTCACACGTTCGCGTAATCAGAATCTGTTCAAGTTTCCTGATCTAACGCCATTCATTGCATCCTTGTAAAGGGAAAGGAGCAGGCAGAGCAGCAACTTCCAGATCGATCAACAATTTGCGCATTTTGTAAATAACTTTTGCGTTTGTACATAAGTTTCTTTTGATGTTTTGCTTACCTAAAGACTTTTCCAATGCATATACGAGATATATACACACACACATACATTACATTACTCCACAAAAGATACAACCCACTCGGCCCAAAAATCATCATCAACTGGCAACATGCCGCTGCATGCAGCTTGCATTTGCCATTTAGTTAAATTTCTCCTTTTAGGCTCGCAAATAATTGTTTAAGAAAAACAACAAAACAAAACTAATTCCACAAGCATTTCGATGTGTGTGTTTTTTGCTATTTTACAACATTAAACATATCAGTTTAAGTGTGTACAATAAGTGCATATCGATGTACTGTACGACTACTTACATATGTATGACTAATAAACATAATACTATACATTTAAAAACAGATCATTTTGATCCTACTGCACTGTAGCCACAGTTTATGTTCTGTACCTGCTGCTGTAATATTTTGTATGTGGAATTTGCAGCATGGAAGTGGAGGACATATTGTAGAAATATGTTGTAGAGTAAATAAATGATAATACTTAGTTGGCAGCTGGGCTTTTCATTCATAGAAGCATTCAGTCGGCACTCATTCATTTACAACTCATTCAACACAATTGAAAATTCCAAATTTAGTATCACGTCTCATGTGATCGTGACTATGGTCTTTTTAATCCCTCACCGCCAAAGATTGCATTCCTTCCGTCGAACACTCTTTCACACTGGATCAAAGTAAGGCTTAAATGCAGTCTTCGTTGCCTGGGTCAGTGCGACACTCACAAGGAAATCTCTGCCGCTTGAACTTTAAGGAGAAGCCTAGACATGAGAACGGTTGATGTCAAGAAAATGTTGGAACTTTTGATCGATTCCTTCTTTGAGAGTTGTTGATTTCCTGATCTTGTGTCCGTGTCAATATAGTCGTAGCAAATCGGAAACACTGCATCGGACTTCCGTGTGATCTCCAGCTGCAGACAATCCCTCAGCCTTGAAGCGATCCAAAGTTTGTGGATTTATCTCATAAACTAAGTTATAAATTTTGCAAACATTTCAATTATACCAATAGTTACATGCATTTATGCGTGCTGATTATTTTTTTCATTGTCAGTAAATAGTTGGGCTGCTCCCTGTCGTCGCATAAGAGTTCTGATTGTTCCTTGTCGAGCCTGAAGAGTGTAGGCGGATCCTTGTAAGTATATACAGGCTCCAAAACATGTGAAAATGTCTCGCAATTTCCAAGGAGGGTCCCTTATAGTGTGGCCTGTATTTGGTGTTGCTGGAAACTGTGTAATATGTTTTGTTACTCACAAAAAAAGCTCGGAAACATATGTTCAACCATTGGACGAAGATCTTCTTAATTTTTGGGGAACGCATTATGGAGATTCCTAGACATTTCAACAGGATAATGCCGCGATTCATGTGTTTATGTACACAAAATCATTTTTTGCAGAGAGAAAAGTTCAGATTTTGAAGTGGCCAGCCCTGGTTCCAGATTTTACCCACAATTGAATACCTTTGGTGCATACTTTCCATCAAAGTGCACATGCACGGAAGACACTCTACCACATTAAAAGAGTTAATAAAGATATTGTCAAGGAATGGGCGCTTTTGGATACATGTTTACTTCTAAGAATGATACATATAGTAAATGCCAAAACCCATAATATACATTTTAAATAGCAAAGGAGATCATATTAAAGCAATTAAATAAAAATTGCGAATTTTAAATTTAAGTAAATTACAAAAAATAAAGTTCTATTGAAATTATAAGTTCACTTATTTCGCTCTGGAAAATTTTTATTTAATTCTCAAAAAACCTTCCAAGAGTATAAAAAACTTTGGTTGGCATTTTTTGAATTGTTTTTTTGTTGACTTTAAGGCAAAATTAAAGAAAGAAAAAAATTTGAAAATTTGAAAATTTAACAAATGTTTTTATGTTTGTAGGTAGGGCAGATGAACAGCTCAAGCTGCTCCTCTTCGTTGCAACAGAGGTCAGTCTGCTCCATCTCGTTGCTTACGAGTTCAGTCTGCTTTTTGTCGTTGATACGAGATTCAGAATTTTTCTTGCGTATCAAAAGTAGCAGCTTGGACCACTTGAGGTACCATTGATACGATCTTTCCCTTCTATCCAGCAGCGAGTTGATCAATTGAAGGACCTTGGACAAGTGTGGTCGGATGTACCCATAGTAATGCTCAAAGAGCACCATCAGACAACGACTCACAGTAACGTATTCAGTACGGACCACGGCAAAGGGAATATGGCGGCTGATCGCTTCAACAAACTGCTCAACGGGGCAATGCCGGTGATCGATGATGATCATGAGGCAGAGCAAACCGCAGACATGATCCTGCTCTTCCAGCGAGAGCAACGTGTCTGGCTTTAGAGCGGTGATCATTGCGTTCGAGACTGCATTTATGATGTGTTTCAGCATATTCTCGGCATTGAGGATCATCACTTTCAGGGAGAACAAGCTTCGCCGTCGCACCTCCTGCTGATCATCGAGCAGTCCTGCGATGATGCCATTGCAAAGGATATTGTAGTAGGGCCTGCCCTTGTTGCCCAGCTGAACGAAGCAACGTGAGAGGACATTCACGATGAGAGACTGATGACTGGTAATATTTCCCTTCTCTAGTTGCCTCAGGCACCTCCGTTCGCAGTGCATGACCAGCCGCCGAAAGTAAACGTCAAACTCCTTCGGTCCCACTGTGTAGCCAAGAATGGGCAACACATCGCCCACCAGTTCCAGCAACTGTTTCTCCTGGCAAACAATCTCACTGCAGGTTTCTATGCGCTGAGTATCATCGTTGACAGCCTGGCAACGGAGTTGACGTTGCAGGATCTTCTGCATAAGGCTGAGCAGCTCACTCGCGTAGCTTTTGAGCGCTCGGCATTGGATCTTTGGGTTATCCAGCAGTAGGCGAACGACGGATAGTACGGCATTGGCATTGGCAGCATCACTGGACGACTCCATGAACTCCAGCAGAGGTGGAAACACTTTCCGGCACAGCTTCTTGGCTCTGCGGAGATTCCAACTTTTCCACTCCAGCTGCAGGATCTTAGAGAGCACTTCGAAGGCGGCTCTCTGAACGAGTTTCTTTCTATGTGAGACGCACTTAAGTGCACATCGCAGGGCCTTCGATCTATAGGGAAATAGCAGATCCGGCAAGTGGACAGCAAAGCTCTGAATGCAGCGAAGAGCTTCCTCGCGCTCATCTGAGTCATCGATGTCCGTGAAAGTGTTGCTGAAGCTGTGAGTGCTGCCTCCGTCTGCGTTCAGACGATCAATAGTTTGAAACAGATTACGGATTATAACAGGGAAGGGCTCTTGAAACTGTTCGGGCACCACTGCAGACAGTTCGGCCATCAGTGGGTACATAAAGATTATATCCTCGGCAGTGTCCATGTCCTGCATGAGTGCCATGGATAAGTCCATTAACTGGGGGGAGAGTATAGCGAATTTCTCTCGACTCACACGAGCCAATGTGGCAATGAGCTGGAGGGGAAAAAATCCTTATTATTGTGATCGTATCTGTTATCCCTTCTTACCTTCAAAGATTGAGCTCTGAGTATAGTTCTCAGCTCATCATTCCTATTAGCCGCTGTATTAGTTAATGCTCGAGCAACATCGCAAACTGCATCAAAGTATGGTTCAAATGAAGTCTTGGTTTTCCGTGCCAGAGCCGCAATACAACGCAGCGCCAGGTGTTGCATCCACAAGGAATTCTTTGCCGCTTGAACGTAAGGCAGAAGCAGAGAAATAAGGCCGGGTAAGTGCGCCCCAAGTGCTCTTGGTCTCAGGCTCTCGATGAAGGTTTCCAGGGCGTAGAAAATGTCGGAATTTTTAATCAATTCCCCCTTCGAGAGTCGCTTATTCTCCGATCCTGTGTTCGTCTCCAGATAGTTGAAGAAAATAGGGAATACTGCATCGGCCTGCTGTGTGATTTTCGGTTGCAGACACTCGACCATTTTTGCCATTGCAAAATATGAGGCCCGACTCACAACTAAACTTGAGTCCGAATGTCCGCTCTGCACAATGGCCATGGAACGATTCATAGTTGGTTGATCTAATTGATGAACGAATCCCTCGACCAGCACCGCCAGAAAGTATTGTGTGCCACTGCGTTGTGTCTCGGAATGTTGCTCCTGCTCTTGCATTATGGGCTCAATGAGTTGGAGTGCTCGGGATGCCATTTTGGCGGTGGATGATTGCTGGAGTAGCTCCAGCAGCACATGAATACCAGGAGCGAGTACATCTGGTGTTTCCTCATCAAACTCGCTTTCCAATTCTAAAACTCGCTCCACAAACAAACTGTGCAGTGAAATGAGAATTCTGTTCATCCAGCCTCGACGGATTATGTCGCGTCGCGAGAGGAGTAAGAGGCAACCCAGCAACTCAATGGAATATACGCGAAGTGCTTTGCTCAGAGTGATGTCCTCGATCATGGGTAGCAGATCCTCCAGCACGACTGACAACTGGGACTGTACCACTTCGGGTGTGAATTCCAATAGAGTTTGGAGCAATTCAAAAATGCCATGCCCCCGATCTGGTGGCTCCTGAGCGGCTACCACTCTCAGTGTTTTCATGACGAATGGCAGCGAGGCTGACAGTGCAGTCCGATCCGTCAAATGCGTGTGACCTAAGGACAGTGATCTGCTCCACACTTTGCACAGACATTCTGATATTGTTGTGCCCAGCAAATTCCTTTCGTCAGCCAACCGCAGGCCATTCACGACAATCCGCTGAGCTCGATCGATTTGTTGAATGAAAACATCAGGCGACACATCGGCCATCAGGCCCAGCACCGTGACACCCAATTTCCGCAGCTCAATCTCGCTGGAGAGACAAATCGCCTCCACGTACTGAAACACGGCATCCGTCCATCTGCCCTCATTGCCGTCACTGCTGTTGGTTCGTTCGTGTTCCATCAGAATGCTGACATTGTGCACAATCAGCTGCTGAACAGCCAAGTCTTCGTAGTCGCTCAGTGACTGCAGTGCCTGGAAGAGCATTGTCTGTACATTGCCCTGCTTGTCCGTTGAGAGTTCTTTCCACTGTTCGAATGGAGACAGTCGCTTGCTTAACATTTCTGCAGCGCACAGACGCAGCTCTGCAGGGTGCTGTAAGCCAAGAAGTTCGCACAGAGCCAGAGTGCTCTCATTATCGCAGAATTCAGTCTCCAGTTCCTCAAAGGCTTTTTGTTTTATCTCTAAATGAGTGGAGAGCGTGTTTGACAGCAAAAGCTTCAGCATTTTCTTCTTGTGAGACATTGTTGATTAACATTTATCATTTATCACGGGTCGGAGCGGTTGCTGGAAGAACACTTATGAATTATCTAAGATTTGCTTCCATTTCGTTGACTTACTTTTTGATAGTTCCAATCCCCTGAGGTTGATCCCTGAGGATCAGTTCAGTTCTTGGTGGGTTGTTTCACTTCGTACCTGTTGGAGAACTGATTCATTTCTGTTGAGTTTTCTCTACCTTATATTACATCTGTTTCTGCTGTCGCTAGCTGCACTTTCTTTTTGCAAGAATAAATATTTGTACTTTAAATTTTAGATTTAGTTTTAGTTGGACTGTGAGCTAACACTAAATCAATAGCTCAGCTGCCAGTGTCAAACGGCTTTAAAATTTGAGGGCACAGCCAACTGGAATGCTTTTCCGGCAAGCCATACTTTTAGGCTTATTGGAAAATCAGAAATTAGCTTTGTATATATAAAATAATCTTTCTTTCTTTCTAGTATGAATAAATAAAGAAATATTTAGATATTTTGTTGCTTTATTTAGTTTTTCCTTGTTGAACAGGGTTCCATTACAGCAAATATTTTTCGATAGGAGGAGGATTCTCTATAATGCCGACAATAAATAACAAAACTCACAAAGTACAATTAAATTCTAAATAAAGGATTATACATATGTATTCTATATATTGTAGGTATCGTAGATCTGCATACTGCATCCTGCACTGAACTGCACACAAATATTTGAATGGCAATTAGCCCAAGTAACGCGCACACAGAACGTTAGACGTGCTGGGTTGGGGTTCGGTTTAAGGGTTTAGATGGTGGTACACAGTATGCCATCGAGTAGATACAAATACACATACATATACATATCTTATTATCGCGTAATATTACAATTATTTAAATTCGAAAAGAGCGCAGAGAGTTGAGAGGCGTTAAATCAAAGCGCTTAGTTTTTTGTTTTGTTTTATTTTTCTTCTGTTCTTCTCCTGTGTTTTTTGTGTGCGTCCGGAGAGAGGTTATTATTTATAAACTATTCTTCAACGACAAAGCGACGGATGGTTGCTTGCTTGGTTGGTTGGTTAATGCTACTAAAGTTAGACTTTTGGTACCCATAGAGATAATTCAACTAACGTTTAGGTTTTACATATGTAGAAGTTATACAATCATTATCATATCATAGTATATCATATCATAATCATATGTTTATGCTTAATGTTTATGTGGGGTTATTACAATACTTTTTTTGCTTTCCATTTGCCATGCTTATGCGCTATAAAGAATCTACTATTCTGCCTTTTTTGGTACAATTTTTGTTTTGTTTTTTGTGCTTAAATATCTAGTTGTTTTATTTTTTGTGCTTAAATATCTAGAGAATTTGACTTCTTTGCTTTATCATTTTTGTATCATTTATATGATTTATTTTAACGTACAGACTAAAATCGAAGAAACACAAACATACACATAGATCTCAAAAAATATACACACACAGATATATATATATGGATATAGGAATCTTTTTATAGTGTTTTTGTTTTAATATGTTTTATGCTTATGGTATGTATGTATTTCCTTTTTCCTTTATCTTTGCTTTTTTTTCCTCTACTGCACTGCGATACTGTTGCTCCATGGAAAATGAAAATGTTATGTACAAGATGACAGAGAGAGTATATGTAAAATGTATGTATGTACATTATTGAAGATTTATTGTATTGGGATGTATTTTTATTTTCATTTTCATTTCGAATTTATTTATCAGCTGCCAAGGCGGTGGCCCCCCCATTGCTGTTTGTCTCCGAATGACGACGCGCCAGTATATGATGTGGATGATGAATTTGATAGCTGCCGTACGGCAAGCCATGACCATTCGGTGTGCATCCAGTCCCATTGCCAAAGGGCAGACCATCGAGATTTCCAAGTTTGCCCACAATTTTTGGTATCCTATCACTATCCGTTGAGGCAGCATTCAAGCTGATCAAACCACTGCCACCGATGCTGGCACAGCCAATGCCTCCACCGATTATGGGATGATGATTCTGATGCGAGTGATGATGATGATGATGATGACTGTGTCCATGACTATGACTGTGATGATGATGATGATGATGATGGTTGTTGTGGTTGTTAATCATGGGCGTGCTCTTGCACAGAGCTGCCGTGCCATTCCTGCACTCTAGATCCTGCGGTCCCTTCAGGGAGCTCGTCTTGCGCACCTGCAGGCCACTGCGCTGTGTCTGCTCGCAGCTCCTGCAGCGCTGCTTCTGTGCGGCTGGACTCTGACGTTGCAACGCATTCAAATTGGCTGCCACGAGTCGCGCCTGCAGCGTCTTTGAGGGCGAACCGGGAGTGCTGTCATCTTCGCCCGTGGGCGGTGGAGTGGATGCACGACTTGAGGCTGTCGATGACGAGGCCGAGGACAGGCAGCTGCTAATTGACTCCACATCGGCATGGCCATTGCTCCGCTCATGCTCCTCCTCTAGCTGCTGCTCCTTTGGTGCGATGGCAACCACATCATTAACAGCATCATCATCATCATCACTGGACTGGGTGCTGGTGGGACGAGAAGCAACGACGGCAATGTGGTTATTAGTTGTGTTGCTGCTGTCGGCAACTGCTGTGTGTGTGCCATTTACGCTTTGGTTTCCTGCTGCAGCAACGGCTTCTCCTGCCACATCATCATCATCTTCACTCATCAACGCCTTGCAGTCACCATTCGATATCACAATTTGCTGCTCCTTACGCTTCTCCTCTTCCTCCTGCTGACTAGTTTTGGTGCCATCGGCCAGATCGATCCAATGCCCACGATTATCGCGAACGCCCTCAACAAGAGGTTCCAGCTTGTCCGAAAGTGTGGCAAAGGCCTGCAGAAAGAACCAAGAAAATATGCATTTAATAAACATTTAAAAGGAGAGAGCAAGAGTGCAGACTTACCTCATAGATGGGCAAGCAAATGGAATCAATAAAGTTCACTTGCATCATGGGCAGCTCATCCTCCTTTTCGCGATTCATTATGTCCTTTAAGGGAAAAGAAAGATGCTTAAACTCCCACAATAATCATTATTGAAGTTGTCTTACAATCGGAGTTATATTCAGCTCCTGCTTCTCCATATCGCCTTGTTCAAAGAACTCGGAGCTAACCAAATCGGCCACACGCTTCTCAATCTCCCACGGCTTCGTGATGGCCGACAAATCACAGACAGTCATGCTCATGGCACGCAGCAAAGCGCGCGGCTCCTCGTCCACCCAATGGCTCAATGGCTGCTCCACGCTCTCCAAAAAGGGTCCACGTTTTCTAGAGGTACAAAACAACAATTAAACCTCAACTTTGATATGTCTTTTCTGTGCAAAACTTACTTGAAATACACTGCCAAATCGGTGGATAAAATGGCATCTTCCAGCACACGTATAACCCGACAATAATCATCGGAGGAAAGATTGGCCAATATTTGATTTCCAGGACTATTCAGAATCATTAAACACTGATCAAAGTGATGATGCTCCATGGTGGATGTGGAGTACAGTTGCGCCAAAGGCGATGAGGCTCTAAAAGAAGTGTTTTTCGTTAGTTTTTGCTACAACTTTATGGCCTTTTCTCTACTTACTTGATTTGAAATGAGTTGTTAGTCCCTCGATGATCGAGATCATGGCAAAGGCAGCCAATAATGAGAGCCAAACATTCAATTTCACCAAAGATTTTCCACCATTGTGTGGTCTGTAATAAATTTAATTATATTTCTTATTAAATTTATAATTTTCTTAGACTTACTGTCAGTATGGCAAACATCATTTGTGCCACATTGAAAGCATGCCGCCAATTGTGGTATGTCACATTGCGATAGTTTTTCTTGACGCTCAACAGCCAACGGCAAAGCACTTCGTAGTCAATGTGAAAACGCTCAACAAAATCGAGATCCAGAAACATGCGCAAACAGGCCTAAAAAGAGAGTTTAATTAGCACCAGTTTGGTTGGATTCTAGTTGGGTATTAAGTGACTTTTACCTTCAGTGTATCATCATCTTCAAAGTGTATGTCATCGAACTTAAAGTCGTGCAGACGGAAGTGCACGGCCGAGGGTACACGCAGGCGCTGTAGGAAGAGCAACAAAAATGTGCAAGAAATTAGTTTCTGTTGGTATGAAAATATACAAAATATAACAATTTATTACATTTCTTTTAGATCCATTAAAAACCATGAACCATTAAATCTCAACAAATGTTCAAATCTTTTAAAACCCTCAAAACAGTTCTCTGCTTGAATAATAAACGCCCACACTTTTCTTAAGCAGCTCATATTATAACAGAAAAACTCTTTTGCCAGCACGTGTCGACCGAAAGCAAATAAAAACCAAAAGATGTCCCTCATCTCTTGGCTGGGCTGTGCTGTCAGGGCAATGTAAATGGCGCTATATTAGCCACCAAAGCAAAGGAAAAGGAACTCCATCAAGGCACTCTCGCTGACATGACACCCCGCACAAAGGAAGAAAAAAAACCCTGCAGCGTGGACCGCAGGGTGCCAGCAGCCACTGTCCAGAAGTCCGCGCACAAAAGGGTTTTATTCCTTGATGCGGTAATCGCATCGCTCTCTCTCTCTCTCTATGTGTGTTCGTGTGGTATAAATAAAGCCTAGTATGGCATAATTTTAATTAAAATTAATAACCCCAACTTCATTGTCGCTGGCTGGCTGACAAGTCGACAGGCGGTCATAATTTTCCTCGAGCATAATTACAGCAAGTGTCCCACTGGGAAGACAAATGAAGAAGGAGTGTGCCACTCGCCACTGCCTTCTGGCTCCTAGCAAACTTTCCTTTTGTCATACTTTTGTGCGAACAAACTAATTACAACTGTCAACACGCCAGTTGGTCGTTGGGTTAAGGGGGAAAGTTGCCAGCGACAACACGACAGCTTGTTGCCGCTGTCTCTGTTTCTGTTGCTGTCACAGCAGCAATAAAAAATACCCCACAGGATACAGGACAATGGAGGCAGCAGTAGGACACCTTTATTTATGGCCTGGCATAAAAATTAAGAGCGGCCTGAAGTGACCTTTTGGCCCTATCTACAAATTAAGTGAGAGCGCAAATAAAAATTAACCAAAAGCAAGTGCTCCGCCGAGAGTCGGAGCTGAAACTTACACGCAAGCGATGTGCCTCATCCATGGTGGCCGAGGCATGATAACTGAGCACCTCCAGGGTGACACTCTGCTTGGCCATGGCCACAATTGCCTTCTCATACATGTGTGTGTTGTGTATGCCCATGCCACAGAAGATGGCAAAAGCCTCCACAAAGTTTTCATCGTTTTTGGTAAAGTCCTGAATAGAACAGAGAGAAGCATTAGTTACAGGAAAGATCTCTTTCTAGGAAACTCCTCGCTTACCAGTTCATTAAATTTATTTATCAGCTGTATTACTCCTATGATCTGTCCCAAGGAGTTCTTGATGGCCATGCACAGGATCGAGCGATGCTTGAAGCTGGAATTCTCATCCACTTTCGAATCGAAACGATCATCCTCGTAGGCATTGGGCACCATGACAGTCTCCCCGGTGGTGGCCACATGTCCCGTGATGCCAATGTTGATGGGGAAACGCGACTCGTAGGGGCTGGTGCGTGAGGTGGCCTCCTCCTCACTGAGGTCATTCGCCTCAAAGTCAAAGACGCGCGAGAAGCTGCCCTTGTCCGCCTCGTGGACGAGCAGAATCTGCACTCGCTGACACTGAATGAGACTCTGCATGTGGGTGAGAATGCGGAAGACCATGTGCTCGATGGTGCTCTGCTCCTCGAAGATCATGCGTGCCAGATCCAGCAGCACTTGATTCCGCTTAATTTCCAGCTGAGATTTCTCATAGAGTTGCGCATTGCGCAGTCCAATGCCACAGAACTGCAGATACGAGGCAAAGACCTGTACGGAAAAAAGAGAATCATGACGAAAGGATTAACACGGGAAGCCACGAGACACACACACACACAACGTTGAGGTTGAAAAATTCCATAAATCCACACACAAAAGATGGATAATCCCCAATGGCATTTTGTCAGACATTCTGCTAAGCTTTCTTAACAAGTTTTCCCCCTACACTCTTTTTTGTTCCTTTGTGTTGAATAATGAATGCAATTTGCCAACGGGGGCCGAGGAAGGAGTCTGCTCTGCAGCTCTTATGTGGCTTATGGCCGAAACAAAAGAAACGCCAAGAGACCTCTCCGCCTCCTGTCCATTCATTCACCCATCCATTCAGTCATTCACTTCCTGCTGCTACTGCACTCACCTTTTCATCGATTTCGGTGAAGCACTCGCCATTCACTTTGTTGATGACCTGAGCAACGCCAATCACATCCCCAGAGGAGTCCTTGATGGGCATGCAGAGCAGCGCCTTTGTCCGGTAGCCGGTCAGCGAATCGATTTCACAATTGAAACGTTCATCCTGTAGATGGGAGGGATTAGAGAATTAATTTGTTCTTCTATGGTTACTTAAGGGAGTTGTAATATACTAAAAACTACCAAGAAATGGCTCTTTCTGTGGAGCAAATATTTGGTAATATTTCAAGCAGATAATAGAATATTTTCAGCCGTTAAATAATTATTTTTGAATATATTCTTTCATATCTAAACTTCCCTTGAAATATTGTTTATTTTTTGAGCAAATTTCTATGACTATTTCGGCGCGTCATTGACACACTTCGGCCCAAAGGTTTATCTTCTTTGTACGCTTCCTCTTTACCCGTAAAAAGTACGCTTCTGGGGGTTATCATGTTGTTGGCTTCGGTAGACGCCCCAGACGACTGTTGACTGACATTTGTTTGTGGTGCCACTTAGGCCAAGATCTGTGCACTCGAGCATAACCCAAATGTCTAACAATACGAATAAACCGAATAATGCCTTTCATTCACACCAAAAATCGTTTGAGGCTCTCTGCGATTGGTGTCTGTCAGTATTTGGCGCGATTTATCTGCACGCTGGTCGCGCTGTCTGGTAGCCGGTGTCAAATATTGTTGTGCCTTGATTAATTGCACCAACAATCAGCCAGCAAGAAGATCTTTCTATCCCAGTGCCAGTCCCCAGTCCGATTTGGTTGTGCGTCATATTTGCTTGGCAGTTTATCTACGAGTGCGAGTGCGCGATATCTGCAAACACATTTTTGCGGCAGCTTAAGTTGACTTAAGCGAAGAGTAACAGAAAAAGAAACAGAAACATTCCAAGGCTTAAAGCTTTAACTTGCGAAATAAGAGAGACAAAAAAAGAGTATTATTATCTGTGGCTGTGATATAACATTGCCTAACACGGCTTTGTCTTTGCCACAAGATTAATTACGCTCCAATTGGCAGACAGGCAGAAGAAAAACTGCCAAAAAAGATAGAGGAGCGAGAAGAGAGCGTGGAGTGGAGTAAAGAATGAAAGGAAAAATGTGAAAAGTGTTCAGTGAGCAATATTGAAAAATTAAAGGAGCAGAGGAAGACATGTGTGGGCACGGGACGGGACTGTACCCCATGCTCCCATAAATCTCACAATCGAATGGAAGACATCTACTGCGGCTGAGGTTCTCCTGGCTGGCTCTCTTTTGTCTTCAACTTGATTTATGGCCTCTGCTTGGCATTCAAATTTGTCAATTTTCATTCTTAAAGTTAGACATGCGGAAAAGCATTTGCCAAAAAAACATTTTCTCTCCCAACTACTGACCTGGTAAGCGTCTGGTATATTGACGGGTTCTCCACTTTCGGCCACATGTCCAGCAATGCCTGTGCCCCAGGCCACACGAACCTCCTCCTGCTGTTCCATCTCCTCCACGGTGCTGCGGGGGCACACATCGAACAGCTTCGAGACGAGGCATCTGCAAGGAGGAACAAAGAAAGTCGAGGGAATTATAAATTGTGTTGCAAACTGCTAAGACCAGTTCCCTTCCTCTCTGTCCATTTTAAATACAATGCAAACTTTGAGCTCTTTCTAGTCTGCGAGCTTCCTTCCTGTTCTTGTTTCTCGTATCCTTTTTACTTATCCTTTTGCTGTTCTCGCTTTAAAAAGCGGTGGAAGGCGGTGGAAGCGGAGTCGAGTATTTGCCAAATGCGCGTGCAGACAATTGCAATTAGCGTTGCCAGCAAAATGGCGTCATACGATGCATACAAAATGGCTGCTGCATGCACTACTAAACCCCACACCGCATGCTGAATGCTGTATGCCACCCTACTGCTTCCACTGCCACTCCATTCCCACCGCTGTCTGTATGGCATTTAAGAAGGGAGCAGCTCCACGCATTCAAAATCATAAAATTCCAAAAATAAATGCTATAAAGATTGTTGCCAAAGACAAAGTTGAAGTTGAAGCTGCCAGTGCAGTGCAGTGCACCCCAAAAATGAAGTCATCCACAAATTGTATGAAAAAAGCAAAACCACTCGCCTGATTGCTGCTGCAAAAGTTTTTCTTGAAGGGAGCAGGGCATGATAGTTCCACAAAATGTTTTTGATTTATGGTAAATGTTTATCTATTATTAATTCTGTATATAAAACTATAACATAAATTAGTTGCTTTAAGTAAAAAATTTAAAAAGGAAAGTGAAGCGGCATTAGGGCAAGAATTACATATGTAAATCAGGGATTAAAATAGTGTTTCAATCAGTTGTTAAAGTGGCAGCTAAAGCTGTAAAATAAATGTTTTAATTGTGTTGAATATTCATCAGAATTCTGTGGCATTTTTTGGCCTATAAATTCAATTAAAATTACATTTTAGTTGCAATCTGTGGAACATTTAAGCTTCCAATTATTCTGGGAACTATTTCATTGGTAATTACTTTCAGAATAAATTAAATTCAATTATTATATACTCCTATATATTCCTCGTAAATACATTCTCCCGCCCTTTCCTTTCGTTTACTAAGATTTTTTGCACTTTTTGCTGGCTATTGCTTCCTTTGACTTCCCTCCCAAAAAACAATTTCCCCTTACTGTTACGTACTTCTTGAGTCCATCGGGTCCATTGCAGCGTCCCTGCACCAGAAACAACGAACCGCGATCCGCATTCAGCAAAATGGAGACATTCTGCAGTATCTTGTGGCACAGCGTGCGCACTTCCAGCTCATTGCAAATGTCCTTTACCTGCACGAAAATAAATATGGATAAAGACAAAATGTTTTAATTATTTAGATACTTAGGTAAACTAACGGAATGTGCAATTGCTGCCAATAGATGTAGCGAACTGTGGCTATAGATAGAGCGGCAATGACTGACGTATTTTGAATGTTTGCCGAGAACAACGTCAATGGAGGAGGCAACACGATAGAAAGCCAAACAAAGAGTCAAGCAAACCAGCAAACAAATACGTCAGCCGCGTTGTAAGCTCTATAAATAAACACATTTGGAGCACTACACAGCAATTGCATTGCCAGTTAAACAATAGAACAGATTGCACAAGTTTTTCCACAGAAAAAAAAATCAGCTCACCAGTTCGAAAATGATTTCCTTTTCATCGAGTTGCTTGAGCTCATTGCGGGACAGTCGCTGTGGTCGCTGAATGCAATGATAGAACTGATATTGATGTACATTTCCACTGCCCGCGGACGAGGATCCACCAGCTCCAGTACTGCCTGGGGAGGCGCCACCGGCTGTGCCGACTCCTGCTGCCACACTGTTGATGCTGCCCAAACTGCTGCTGCCCACTGCCCCGCCTGCCTGGTAATGGCTGTGCTGACTGTGGTGCAAATGCGGATGATGGTGGTGCGAGTGGTGGTGGCTGTGATACTGATACTGTCCCGCCACCACACCACCCACATTCTGTAGATTCGAACAGGATCCGCCGACACCTCCATTATCCATGGGCGGCCCAATGCTCAAGAATGTCGGTGTCCCATCGATGGTGTTCACAATCGGCTTGAGCAGACCCCCGCGCTCAAACTCATGAGCAGAGATTTTTCTGTAAATAAAGAGCATTAGCAACGGAAATTCTTTCCATAGTTTCCATAGTCCGCACACTTACCGCACTGGTGTGGTGGCTCCGGAACCGCCACGCGACGAGCTCGTCTGTCCATTGGGATGTGTGGGTGAGCTGCTGGAGACCACATCATTGCCCGCTGTGGTGGCATGCGAGACCAGCCAGGCATCCACCGTTTGACGTGTGGCTTTTCTACAAGGGTTAGGGAGGGAGAAAAAGGTTTAAAATGTGTGGAAAATATGGGATTTATTGATAATTTTTTGGGTGTAGTTGAAATTGATTTAAAGTCAGCTGCTGGTCGGTTCTCCCAGAACAAAGAACATCTTTTAACCCTTTCTTCCATCAGTCTGATTCTTGCAACCCTTCCTCTTCACTTCTCCAGATGCTATACCCTCTTTATTCCGAGTTATCTCCTCTAACTCCCTCCACATTAAAATCTTATTACAAAAAATCACTAAATGAATCTCTGCTGTTGCTGCTGCTGCTGGACACTCTCTCGACACTCACTCGCTTCTCTTAGGATATGCATGCGTGCCGCATAAAATTGTCTAATAAAAGACCCAACTCATAAATATTCAGACAGCGAGAAGGATATCCCTCCACGACCCACAAGTCTTTCGCCACTCAGCATGTGGCCTTATAAGCACGCGCTTTTGGCATAAAAACCACCAACCAGACAGAAGACCCAGACTCGGCCAGAGCCCACAACAGCAGCAATCACAGCGGACAACTCTGTGGAAGGAGCAACAAGAGAGAGTGAGGGAAAGAGGAGAAACTGTTAAAGAGAGGACATGCGGCATATTCTTATGCAAAGTACACACTCCAGCCAGCACACCCCTTTTTGTCAGCCTCCCATTTAATGTCCTGTCCCGCAGCGAGCGAGGAGCTAAACGGAACAGTTCTGCTGTCCTGTCCTGGCCTGGTCTGCTCGACCATGAAAATAAAGCCCAATTTATGTTTTTAGTTGTCAGTGATTTTTATTATGTGTCATAGACAACTCCTCCCAACCGGCCACTGTCGCTCTATCCCTTGCCCTGGGCAACCCTCTCTCTCTCTCTCTCTCTCTCTCTCTCTCTGGTGAATGTTCCCTGCTGTGTGGGGAAAGGCAATTTCCGGTTTATAGCGGAAACGAGCTAGCCCTCGGTTCATGGTCAAACACCACAAGACCCACGGCACTATGATGCCCCATGCCGTTGGCTTTACCATAAATATGGCCGATTGTTTGCCATGTGGCCATAGAGAGGGTTAGCCACACGTGTGTGTGTGTGTGTGTGTGTGGCAGTTGCAGTTGTAAATTTAAGAATTTATCAGTGGAAATTTCTCCTAGATTATTTGCATGGCATTGATGGGAATACTCGTACATGTGCTCCATGTACATATTTATGAAGCAGCCCTTTCAGTAGCAGCTGCAATTTATGTTTGTAATCGGAATTGGATGGGGATCGATGGGTAATCGTATTTCATTTTGGGAAGATGTTTAATTTGAGTTTTCATATTGATTGATTGCGGCTCCTAAAGTTGCACTAAGAAATGGTAGGAAATTGAGTATGGATTGACATAATGGAAGGTTGATTTTGAATCCGATTTGACATATTTTCTGGACTTTGCTAGAGCTCTTTGCATATCTGTCTGTCTTCTTCAATCAATTTTTTCTATATTTTAGTTTGATCACTCAACCACGACATGACATCCATATAAGGAGACATTCATTTATTATTTCATTTCTTGACCCGCCTATTTTATGTGTAAAATCATTCTGCGTTCGCAGTTTGCAGTTGCAGTTTGATTGTCGCATTTTTCCACTAAAATTTATTATATTTTTCATAATTTTTGGCCGCATCTATAAATACTTTAAAGCGCTAATTTCTTAGTCTTTTCATTGACATAATATTTTAAAAATTCGTCCATTAATTATTCCATCTACTTATACCTCATAAATTTCTTTGAATTATTGATTTCTCTCACCCATTTATCTACATATTCTTACAGCCACTTCCTACATATTTGTTGCCTTACCTTATAAAATAATCCTGTACAAATTCCTGATTCTCATCCAGCCAGGCCTCCATTCGCGCATGCTCTGGATCGTATGGCGGTCTAGTGTGCTGTGGCGACGACGACGACGCCGACGACTGATGATGATAGTGATGCTGGTAGGAAGAAAGATGCTGCGACTGCTGCTGCTGCTGCATGGGCTGCTGTGTGGCATACAGCTGCAGCTGTGGATAGGCGGAGGAGTTGGGGGATCCTGATGCAGATCCAATATTATTCTGATTGCTGCTCAGCGGCTGATAGTGGTGGGCGGGTGATGGCTGGTGTGAGGCTGGCGGCAGGGGGACACCGGTGCGTGAGGCAAGGAGAAGCGAATGATCGCCATAGCCGTACCCTGTGCCCCCCTGCTCCGCATTCATTCGGCCGCTGGCCCCAAGCTGCAACGGGGTCGTCGGTGGCTCCTCAATGCTCCGCAAATGCAGACCTGCAATGGGAAGAGCAGGAAAAAGGAGTGTGAGTGGGGCAGGGTAAATACATATAAATGGATTCATGAATATTTTTAATTCAAATTAAATAGGAATTTTTTTTCCACTCTTTCTCTCTCTTTTTGTATGGGGTTTCCGCTCCGAATTCTGCCCCCCTTTGGGGTAATTTGTTCGCTCCAAGCCATGTGTGTGTGTGTGCTGACAGTTTTATGAGCATTCCTTCGGCCACACATATCTCTCTTTTTCACACACTGGCATGGTGATGCTCGCTCTCTCCTTCTTGCGTCTCGATTGATGCCACATTTGCATTGCAAATGGGTCATACATATCCTTTAAGGATATGTCCGCCACTCGGCACGTGACCAGCAGTGATGTCTCTCCCTCTCTCCCACATCCTCTCATTGTCGCAGAGAATACTGGCACCATTTCTGGTTACCCTTTAGCACATGAAAACAGTCTTAATTTGTCAGTAAGTTTGCCACAAAAATAAAGATTTATTTGTTTCACATAAGCCCTGTCTGAGACTCACTCTCTACCATCGCAAAAAACCATAAAAATTATCTCAAAGAGTATCCAAACTCTCGCTTTTTCCACTTTAAGTTCCCTTCTTTTATTTCCCATTTTTGTCGCAATTTCCTCTTTCAATTTCCACAATTTTCGGGGTTCGTGCGAAAAATCACATAAATTTGTTCAATTGCTTTTTGGGGAAGCTCATCAATTTGTCGCTTTCTCTAGAGCAATGATTCCTTTTCTCCTTCATTCTTTTCTCTTGCAACAATTAAGTGTCGTACAACTTTTAAGGATACTCCCATGCCTCGTGCGACCATACGTAATGCTCCATAAATAACATTCGACAATGCCAGCGGGGCAGGACAGCTGCCGCTTTCCCCCAAAAAGTATTTCAAGTTCAACATTAACCGGAAATATTGGCAATTTCCTTGAATTATTGACTCCTTGCAACATAAGTATCTGTAGCACGACAAGAGTACTGGTGTGTGTGTGTAATATCTGCCTTTGAGCGACTGATTAAGTGCTAAAAATAGATACAAAGTAACAAACGACAAGCAGCAGCCAGCATCCCAGTAACTGATGAATGTCTGGAGAATGGCTGCCACAGGAAACCCCTTAACAAGACTCAAGCTGTGGAAACCTTCGCTGCTCCACCTAATTTTCTACATTTTCCTACTCCTCTTTCTAGTGTCTAGGTGGCTGGTTTATTTATTCCATGGAAAAATATGATTTATGTTCTACAACACAAACGACAGTCAGCGGGTGGATGGGGAATCCACCAAAAAAAGAAGCAAACAAACGACTTGTGTTAATGTCACTTGACAATTTGACTTTTCCCTTAAGCTACAGCTTAATAAAAGTCAAGGTCTTTTATTTAAGGATTTTTATAGCTTAAAGTTTTTGACTTAATTTTAGATAAGAAAATATTTTGTAGGGTTTTACTGTGTTATCTCTTAAGTGTAATTGTTTGTGGCATTTTTTCTTTCCATCAAAAATAATTTTGTAAGCTATTTTATGTGCACTAATTGAGGGATGTACAATTAAATAATATGCAATGTCTCTGGAATTTATATCTCCTCTTCCCCCAGAAATTAAAAACGAAGCAAAAACATTTGATAAAAAAATACTCATAATTTTGTCTTTCTTACTTGCAATTCCATTTGCGATTCTCTTTGACGTTAATTTCAGCTTTTCAGCTGCCATGATTTGTGCTTTCCCCAGGAATTTATCTCACAGATGAGCAGCCCACAGATACTTGTTGGGGTACGGGCAGAAAGATACTTTTTATATTTCTTGTATTTCTTTTGCTTTTAAGCTTTGCCGATAAGTTGGAAAGTTGGCTACTTAGTGCTGCAAGTGGGGAGAGCATGTATCCATATCCCTTTGGGTGGCAAGGGAGAGATGCTGCTGCTGCAGCACTTACATGCCACATGTGTTATGCACCAGCAGAGGGGCAGCAGCAGCAGCAGCAGCAGCAGCAGATACTTCCTTGAGTTCGAGAGGGAGAGAGAGAATTTAATCTTTTAAGCTGCAGTTGCCTTGCCGCACATCCAACATGCAACATGCTTAAGCTGCTGCAAAACATTTGGCAGGCACTCCTCCCTGCCTCCCCAACTACCTCCCACACACACACATCTTAAACACGCAGCCTCACTCACACCCTACACCCACATGTATTTGTATCTGAAGAATTCCTTTGGCTATTTCCTGCTCTCGAAGTCAAATGACAAGTCGACAGTGGTGGTTTGTGTGTGTGCCGAGTGGGTGGTGGTGCAGCACCCACTGTCGCCGACACTTTGCTGCGGTTTGATGCGTCAGCTTTATGTAAGACATTCATATGGCCCCACCTACTTTTCGCCCACTCCCCTTTGACTGCTGCTGCCTCCTGCCGGTCGTTGGAGTGTATTACACCCTGTTCTACCCTCCTGCCCCTCCTGAACCCCTCTCTCTATCTCTTGGAAAATAGCATTATTTTTATACAACATTTGCAATGGAATTTTACTTTTAGCAGAAAAATACCACAGAAAGGAAAGTACAGGGGGGACTCTTGTGAGTTCGCAAACTGAAGAATGGAATACACTTTGGAGCGCAACATGATATATTTATATATGTATTACCGATTTCATAACAATTTTAAAACAGAATTTCTTCACATAGAATGCAATCAAGCGAGTGCTAACTTATCCTTTGCTAAACTAATCATTCCAAGAAGCCACTCGGAAGTTCCCCTTAACTTTAACCTATTCCTTAAAGCTCTTTGTAAAAGTTAGTTTGCTGACTTTCTGGACATATCTGCATTGATATGGCTACCTGATACTTCCCTCAGCTACTACCCAATAGCAAACTTTTCTCAAAGTTAGGGCTCTCCTTATCCAGGGTATTAGCTACACATACACAATGGTACATAACATACATGTCCTGTATGTTTCTATGGATGCATGGCAATGTAGTGTATTTTGTGCATTGTTGTTGCTCTCTTTCTCTCGAGTAGTGAAACCAGAATGCAAATTGAATGTTGGCAAATGGTAAAATGTGCAAAAGAGAACAATTTTTTCCCCTCAGTTGCCTCTGAGGCTTGGATCAATGCTGCAAGGAGCGACGGATACTGAAGCTGCTGTATATGAAATAAGCTGTATATGACACTGCCACTGCCACTGCCACACATCCACATCATTCGCCTTCTCCTGCTTCCGCTTCCTTTCCTTTATGATTGTTGTTTGCTTTTTGGCGTTGAAGTCAACTCTGAAGTGTTGAAGTTTTGTGAGAAAATATTTATGAAAAATCTCCCAAGACGCGGGCCAAGGTTTTTTGCTTGTAACAACTCTGCAGCTGTAGCTCTCCACCTCTGACGCCTGTCACCTGTTGTGTGTTGCTGTGTTTCCAAGGAGGCTTCCTAATGTATTATTTACTTGAAATTTAAGAATATGTGAGGACGCGAGAGCGAGTTATTACATGGCAAACTACTCGAAACTGTGCAGATGTAACACATTTTCCACTTCAAGACTGAACCACGAGTCTCAAAAGTTTTCCTTTACTGGGACTAAAAAGAGCATTTAATAGTACTAGGAATAGAGGTTAAAATATAATATCCAACAATTAAAATGTATATATAATTATTATATTTTTTTCACTGAACTCTTTTGACCTCAGGAACATTTTTCACCCTTGAGACCTCACCTGTTGCTGCCGCTTCCGACTGATGCGGCAATTGGGGACTGGGTAAAGGTGTCTGTTGTTGTTGTTGCTCTTTTTGTTGCTGTTGTTGTTGCTGCTGCTGCTTGTTGCTGTTCTTATTCTTATTTTTGTAGCGACAACCACGAAATCGACACATACTTGCCGCTTGGCCCATGGGGCCCGCCAGCAATGCAAATGTTAGACCCTCCGTTTTAATGAATTGAATTTTATCAAATTTGAGCAATTCGGCAGCAAAACGTAAATTATATTTCTTTGTTGTTGCAGTTGTTGTGGATGATGGAATTGTGGAATCAATTTTGTTGAATTTCTTGCCACCGCAGAGTGGCAGCCACGACCGCAGAATGTTTTGGAGGATGGTTTCAAATAATCCAATTTTACTCGTTTAATTTGTAGACTTTGGTTTCGATCACTTGTGTTTATCTTTGTTATAATTGTATTATTATTAACTTTACGGCTGCTGTTGCTGCTGCGGCTATTGTTGTTGTTTTTTGGTCTTTCACTTTGTTGAACTTTCATAATAACTGCTGTTTTTGTTGTTTCTGCGTTTTGTTTATTTACTTAACAAATTATTCAGTTATTCAATAGAGAGGGAGAGGGGAAGACCTGTTGAAGTTGGAATAAATTTATATTTTCCAAGGGAGACAGAGACAGAGAGGATATGGAGACCCTGCTGTGCTTCATCTCTATATAAGCCTGATCTGACCCGTGCCCAAAAAACTTTGCAGACAGTTGATGGCCGCTGCAAAAGTTTTCACCGCAAAACTATTTCCCGAGAGTTTCTCAAGAGAGTTTCCTGCATATCTTAGTGCTGTTTTTTATGGATTCATGTAGCTTCAGGGTTGCTATTAGATGTATAAAGAGCAGGGAGAAGCCATTTAAAGCAAAGGTGCAACGAATATTGCTATTAAAATATTTTAAAATAAATTTAAGAAATTCAATTTGTCAGAAAATATATTTAAATTAATATTTCAGTGCTGTTTTTTCTTCCTTCTTTAGCATTTTGTGTATTATTTTTCAGGTTCAGTTCAGGTTAAAGGTTCGCTGCTGTAGTCGCTGCTGCTGCTGCCATTTTGCCATATGCTGAGAGGCAATTCAATTAACGATTTTTGGGGTCGCCAACAGTCAACCGTTGGCCGAGACACTCATTGAAACAGACAGAGGGGGACGGAGAACCGAGATGAGAGAGAGAGAGAGAGAGATATTGGAGGGACAGCAGCAGACAGGCCGCCAATTGATAAATAAACAAGACTCCAAAATGTCGCTGGAACATTGTCGCTGAAGGGGCAGTGCGTGA